CACATTCATACACACACTCACATACTCACATTCATACACACACACACACTCACACACGAACACACACACACACATACTCACACACTCACATTCATACACACACTCACACACGTACACACACTCACACACACACATACTCACACACATACACACACACACATACTCACACACATTCACACACACACACATACACACACTCACATTCATACACACACTCACACACGTACACACACTCACACACACACATACTCACACACACACTCACACACACACATACTCACACACATTCACACACACACACATACACACACTCACATTCATACACACACTCACACACGTACACACACTCACACACACACATACTCACACACATACACACAACAACAACCGCCATTCGCCACTAAGTGGCGGTGACGTCACCACGATGCTTGTGCCAGGCCAAGTGCACCTTGAGGCCACGTGAAGTGTCGAAAGCCCGCTGGCAGGAGGTCACGGGGCAGACCCAGGTGCCACTGGTCGACTGACCGAGATGACCGAGATGACTGGCTGATGCACCACCTGTGCCCCCTACTGTGCCAACTTGCTGTGCTTTAGCCACCCGGCGCTCCGCTCGTTGTTGTGAGCGTCGCTCCTCCGCCCTCCGTTGTTGTTGGAGGGCGACTGCCTCCAACTGCCCAGTAGCGTCCTTCACGAGCCTCCTCCACTGAGGCCGATCTTGACACCGCTGGTACCAGTCATCGGCAAGTCCACTCAGCTCCACGTCCTCCTGTACCACATCACTCCATCTCTTCTCCAGCCCGTGCCGCGCCCGTCTAGCCCCCTCGATCCGGCCGAACAAAAGCTGTTTAGGCATGCGGTGGCTGGGCATGCGGGCTACATGACCCAGCCAACGCAGCCTTGCCTGCCGGAGGAGCTCACTGATGGGACTTTGCCCAGATCTTTCAAGGATTTGTGAGCTCCTCACACAATCCAGCCTGGTTAAACCCAGGATGGATCGTAGGCAGGCCAGCCTAAATGTTTCCAACCGGCGAAGATGCTCCACCAGGGGGGTCCACGTCTCGCAAGCGTAGAGAAGGGAGGGAATGACCGTGGCCGAGAAGACCTGAAGCTTCGTGCGGAGCGACAGACCAGGTAGCTTCCACACAGCGTTACGCAACCGATGAAAAGATATTGCCGCTCGACTGATTCGGAGTGAGACCTCTGCTGATAGACTGGAGCCGGTCATAAGCATACTGCCCAGGTATGGGAAACTCTCCACTCTCTCCACAACTGCCCCATCACCAATTGGGAGTTGTGGGGGTGGAGTGTCCGATGGTACAAAATACCCAGGCAGGTGCTTGGTTTTGGTGGGGCTGATGGTAAGGCCCCACCTCTTAGTGGCACGCTCCAGTCTCAGCAGCAGCGCCTCCAACTCCTCTTCTGAATGAGCAGCTATTACCAAATCATCGGCATACATAACGTGGTTGACCAATAGGGAGCCATCCCTTGATCGCACCCGGGCGTCGATCAGCCTCCCATTATATCTGTACCAAACGGAAATTCCCCCGGTACAGCTATTGAAGGCTTCACGAACTACGCGGTCAAAATAGATGTTAAATAATGTGGGAGCCAGAGGACATCCCTGTCGCACCCCAAGGTGTACAGGGAAAGGCTCCGACTCCCGGCCACGTAGTTTTACCCGGGCCCGCTCACCATCATGAAGGTCCTTAATGATCGTGAGCAGAGGGTCAGGGACTCCGAAAGCACGAAGAACAACCCAGAGTCCAGTCCTACTGATGGTATCATAGGCCTTGACCAGGTCAATAAAGCAGAGATGTAGGTCTTTTTGGAATTCCCTACACCTCTGCTGTAGCAGACGGACAGAAAATATGGCATCTGTGCAGGACCGCCCTTTCCTGAAACCGCATTGGGGCTCCGCAAGCCCCTCCTCAGCGTGCCTAGCAAGGCGATGTTGAATAATCCTTGCCAGGACCTTACCCGGCACACTGAGGAGTGAGATGCCCCTGTAGTTGTTACAGTCTGTGCGGTCCCCCTTCTTAAAGAGGGGGACCACCAGGGCATCCTTCCAGTCCTGCGGAACCCGTCCAGTGGTCCAGACTGTTGTTATGATGTCATATAGGGCAGTCTGTGCACAAACGCCACACTCCCTCAGCATTTCGCTTGGGAGATCATCTCTGCCCGGTGCCTTCCCTGGTCTCAGACTCCGGATCGCCCTCAGTACTTCCTCAACAGCTGGAACCTCAGCCAGCCACTCACAGGGGGTGACCTCTTCCAATATTTGAGGCACCGCAGCCTCAGCAGGGTTATCCCCACTTTGTGCCATGATGTTTTCCTGGCTGAGAGAATTTCCCTCCCCCAGGACCTCACAGAAATGCTCAGAAAATCTGCAAACCTGTTCCTGGGGGTCGGAGATTGGATCACCGTTTTTTCCTCTAATGATGGTAATAGGTGTGGCGCTGCAGGTTACTTTTTTGATGGAGTTAAATAGTGATTTGTGATCACGGGCCACTGAGGCAGACTCCATCTCCTCAGCAACCCGCGACCACCACCCATCCTTACAACGCCTTACGGCTCTCCGAACTTCCGAGCGAAGGCTGCGGTAAACCTCCTCATTCTCTGACGTGGGATGCTGTAGGCGATGAGAGTGGGCCTGTCGCTTTTTCTCAATTAACCTGAACACCTCCTCTGTCAGCCAGGGTTTCTGGGGAGGTCTGGACCGCGTACCCAAAGCAGCCATTGCAGCTGCATGAGTCACAGTCTTAAACCTCGCCCATTTACCCTCGACATCAGGTGGAGTGGGGGACGATGCCAACCCCAGCTGCAAGCGATGATGAAATTCTCGCTTGCAACTTTCATCAGCTAACTGAGACCAGGCCACTTTTGGTTGGAATGGGATCCTGGGTGTACACCCACCACCGGAGTGGAAGAAAGGCAGGCGCATCTTACAGATGACTAGTCGATGGTCAGAGGACAGATCAGCTCCACGGTAGGTCCTGGTGTCAAGGACATGGGTTCGCATCCGCTGGTCCGTCACTATGTAGTCCAGCAGATGTTCTTGCTTGGACCCGGCATGTATCCATGATGTTGTGTGGATGCGCCGATGCCGGAAGAGCGTGTTGGTAATTACAAGCCCATGGGCTGCACAAAAATCTAGCAGCCTCCTACCGTTATTATTGAGCTGATCTGGCCCATGCCTTCCAATCACTCCAGACCAGGTGTCAGCATCATGACCAACTCGGGCATTGAAGTCACCCAACAAGATGACTCTGTCCCGAGTGGCCACTTTAGCCAGCACCTGTGACAGGAGGTCATAGAAAGCGTCTGACTCATCGGCTTTGCTTGCATCCCTCCACGGATGTTCGTCTTCGGTGGGGGCATAAGTAACCACGACCACCACTCCTCGCCTCTGGTTGATGGGAAAGGCGAGCCCAAAGTATCCTGGGGCTTACAGCTTCCCACACCTCACCGCCACGCTCCCACGCCCCCTTCATTCTTTTGTTCAGAAGAAGAGCCACACCCTGTTGTTTGGCAGTCTCCTGCCCCGAGTAGAGGACTGTCCACCCCTCATGGTGGCAGGAGCCAGAACCGGTCCACCGGACCTCCTGAATGCCACAGAGATCCAGGCGGTACCGGTCCAGCTCCCGACAGAGGAGTGGCAGCCTCTCCTCCGCAGTGAGCGTTCGAACATTCCACGTGGCCATCCGCAATGGTTTTTTGTTGTTTCTGGAGGAGCCCCGAGGGTGAAAATTCAATCTCCTGGCTCCGCCAAATGGGGTTTGGCCAGGAGACGTCATAAAAGCCTGACCCCCCGGGGCCTCCGGCACAAGCTTATTTGTTACAGGT